ATTTACAATGACATTATCAAATCTCACAATGCCCAGCGATATTTCAGCAGCCGTCATGTTTATTTACATTGGATATTGTAGTTCCGGTCAGTGTTGTAATTAATACGCTAAGAATTGTGTCTCGTGCGGCATGGTAATTATGTCTCGTGCGGCATGGTAATTAAAGTCCCATCAACGACACAGCTTTCAAAGAGGCTATATAGTGACAATGCCATGCAAATGTAAATATATAATATGTATTTCCGTAGCATTCAGTTGGGTCGCAATAGAGATTGACATGTGACAACTCCAGTGAGCGATTTAGATTAGCTCTAATGAATTCTTATTGACTCTCCTGTTAACCTCGTTATGCACCATTGTATTAGCTAATTTACAAATTCAATATATCCAAATTACAAATGGGAATTCCGATTTTTAATTGGTTTCTTCGAATATGAATCTTCATTTATGAATGTATGATTTTGTAGGGAGCTTGTTGGACCTTCAGACGTAACATTACCTCTAGTCTCTCACGTTCCATATTATAATGTTCTGTGCCATTCAGTAGCAACAACAGTCGCCAACACGTTGATAAGTAACGACGTCTGAAAGGTAGTTCTGTATACCTGAAACACTTGTCATCATTTTTTAGGTATAATGTTTCAGATGCTTGTTTAGAAATATACCGAAGTGGTTCATCCTGTCATCCTCCTCGTTCAGTCTAAATACGATCAACGATTTCCATTTTTGATTTTATCACAATGAGGAATAACTACCTGCTCAATGATATAGTCTGATATGAAGCCTGTCTATTGTTTTATCAGAAAAGTCCTCTCCAAAAAATGAAAAGCCTTTTCATGAAAATGGTTGCCATTTTGAACGGGTTTCACAGGGGTAAAAGTTATGTTTGGCTTTGTACTTCAAGAAACACCTATGTACCAAACATAGTTGGTTTACCTGATAGTGAGGTCATTTCACCGACCTATTATATCGTTTCTGTATCTAACCAATGATAGTTCAGAACTGTTTTCTGTAACTAAACAATGATAGTTCAAAACTGTTTTCTGTATCTAATCAATGATAGTTCAGAACTGTTTTCTGTATCTAAACAATAATAGTTCAGAACTGTTTTCTGTATCTAATCAATGATATTTCAGAATTGTTTTCTGTATCGAAACAATAATAGTTCAGAACTGTTTTCTGTAACTAAACAATGATAGTTCAGAACTGTTTTCTGTATCTAACCAATGATAGTTCAGAACTGTTTTCTGTATCTAATCAATGATAGTTCAGAACTGTTTTCTGTATCTAAACAATGATAGTTCAGAACTGTTTTCTGTATCTAACCAATAATAGTTCAGAACTGTTTTTTGTAACTAAACAATGATAGTTCAGAACTGTTTTCTGTAACTAAACAAAAATAGTTCAGAACTGTTTTCCAGGGGTTAAGTCTCCAAGGGTGGGGCAGATCCCAAGGCCATCCTGGAAACATATGTGCATTCATCTCTTTATACTCAGCAATTGTATATATGGTTATAGGGTGGGGATCTCAACTGTTTCCAAGCTGTGACTAAAAAACTAGGTCCCTAGGGTTGTGGCCAGACCCCAGGGTATATTCTAATATCATGACTGCATTCGTCTCTTTATGCCCAGCATTTGTATATATAGTTTTGGGGTGGGGATCTCAACCGTTTTAAAGTTATGACCCAGGGACTATGTCTCCAAGGGTGGGGCCAGATCCTAGGGCCATCCTAGAAGCAAATGTGCATTCTTCTCTTTATACTCAGCAATTGTATATTTGGTTATATGGTGGGGATCTCAACCGCTTCCAAGTAATACACTTTTTTTGGCCCCACCCCTTAGCCCGGGGGTCAGCCCCACCATTTGTACACTGTTGAATCCCTGCCTCCCATGGATGCTTCCGACCAAATATGATCGATATCCAGTTCATAGTTCTACAGAAGAAGTCGTTTATAGCAATATAGCCAAATTGCCCTATTTTTGCCCCGTCCTCAGCCCCACCATTTGTACAAGTTTGAATCCCCACCACCTAGGGATACTTCCAGTCAAATATGGTTGATATCCATCACTAAGTTCCAGAGAAGAAGTAGCTTAAAGCTACATAGCCAAATAACCCTTTTTGGCGCCGCCCCTCAGCCCCCTGGGGGGTCAGCCCCACCATTTGTACAATTTTGAATCCCTGGCTCCCATGAATGCTTTTGATCAAATATGATTGATATCCAGTGCATAGTTCTACAGAGGAAGTCGTTTATAGCAATATAGCCAAATTACCCCCGCCCCTCAGCCCCCTGGGGGTCAGCCCAAACATTTGTACAACTTTGAATCCCCACCACCTACGGATGCTTCCAGTCAAGTATGGTTGATATTCAGTGCATAGTTCTACAGAAGAAGTCGTTTGTAGCAATATAGCAAAATTGCCCCTATTTGGCCCCGCTCCTCAGCCCCCTGGGGGTCAGCCCAACCATTTGTACAATTTCGAATCCCCATCACCTAGGGATGCTTCCAGTAAAATATGGTTGATATCCATCACTTGGTTCATGAGAAGAAGTCGATTAAAGCAATATAGCCAAATTGCCCCCTTTTCCCCCCGCCCGTCAGCCCCCTGGGGGTCAGCCCAACCAATTGTACAATTTCGATTCCCACCACTTAGGGATGCTTCCGGTCAAATTTAGTTAATTCCAACAGTGGTTAGGAAAAAGAAGTCGTTTAAAGGAATTGTTGACGTACGGACAGACGACGGACGCCACGGTATGGCATCAGCTCACCTTGGTCCTTCGGCCCAGGTGAGCTGAAAATGATAGTTCAGAACTGTTTATTGTATCTAAACAATGATAGTTCAGAACTGTTTACGGTATCTTAACAATGATAGTTCAGAACTGTTTACGGTATCTCGAATAACTGATGATGACCATTTTCGAACCGGGAGCATTTTTAATTTTCCAATCAGATCAATTTCTCACTAGAATCGCACTAAGTGCCAAAGACAGTTATTCTTGACCTTTTATTTAACAATCATTTTCTCCAACTAACCGTGATAACAGACTGTATGATGGTCATCTAGAAACTATGCAGCCATTTTGAGTAAGTAAACAGAATTTGGTGCTTAATCAGAAAATGAACATTGATTGTACTGATCTGTCAGAAAGGTTTTGCTTTATTATTTACAGCAGACAAAACTCTCGGATCCATAGGGACATTTTCTATTGCAAATAAAAGTGTTTTTTTTTACAAACATCAATAGGAGCTCTGGTTAGACGAGAAAATATGTCGGCGAGGGCAGGATTAAAGGTTTACAGTAATGTCGGCGAGGCCAGGGTTAAAGGTTTACAGTAATGTCGGCGAGGACAGGATTAAAGATTTACAGTAATGTCGGCGAGGGCAGGATTAAAGGTTTACAGTAATGTCGGCGAGGGCAGGATTTAAGGTTTGCAGCAATGTCGGCGAGGGCAGGATTTAAGGTTCACAGTGATGTCGGCGAGGGCAGGATTAAAGGTTTACAGCAATGTCGGCGAGGGCAGGATTTAAGGTTCACAGTGATGTCGGCGAGGGCAGGATTAAAGGTTTACAGTAATGTCGGCGTGGGCAGGATTAAAGGTTTACAGTAATGTCGGCGAGGCCAGGGCTAAAGGTTTACAGTAATGTCGGCGAGGGCAGGGGTAAAGGTTTACAGTAATGTCGGCGAGGGCAGGGTTTAAGGTTTACAGTAATGTCGGCGAGGGCAGGGGTAAAGGTTTACAGTAATGTCGGCGAGGGCAGGATTTAAGGTTTGCAGCAATGTCGGCGAGGGCAGGATTTAAGGTTTAAAGTGATGTCGGCGAGGGCAGGATTTAAGGTTTACAGTGATGTCGGCGAGGGCAGGGTTTAATGTTTACAGTAATGTCGGCGAGGGCAGGATTTAAGGTTTACAGTGATGTCGGCGAGGGCAGGGTTTAAGGTTTACAGTAATGTCGGCGAGGGCAGGATTCAAGGTTTAAAGTAATGTCGGCGAGGGCAGGATTAAAGGTTTACAGTGATGTCGGCGAGGGCAGGATTTAAGGTTTACAGTAATGTCGGCGAGGGCAGGGTTAAAGGTTGACAGTAATGTCGGATAGCACATAATCTACGCAGGATCCAGCTCCGTATCCCGCCTGGTCCGTAACATTGGTTCTTTTATTGGTAAGGCACATAAATGTGTGAACAATAGGAAAACAAAAGCAAATTTACAAACAAAATAATCTTTATTTCTATAGGAAATTTACAAATCCGGCAGTTACTACAGATATGCTGCCATTTCAACGAGTAGAGGGACAACAAATAACAAGACGCATGGAAATGATATGTACATATGATATCACACCACGTGACCACAATGGCGTCAAATCATTGGACGAAAGGTACGTCACAAAGCTACATACAAAAGTATTGTTGGTGCACTCTTTTTCTGACAGTACGATTAAACACCCACTGAAATAGTGCCGATGACGTCACTGAGATGTGAATGACCACAGTTTTAGTTTTGTTTTTGTTAATTTCTTCTTGTCTCTGGATACCTTGTAATGTTCGTCGGTAAAATTCTTTGGTAAATTTCAGCACTCAGTTGCCATAGCAGTACCTATCACTGGGTGACGTCATCCAGTAAGTATCGACACGTGTAACCAGCGATGACAGAGTAACAGTTACCACTCAGCCGTGTAGATTTCAGCACATACATGCTTCAATTTACAGAACCCAGAGATTGAATCACTACTTCTAGTAAGTCTACTGCTATGAAGCCTATTTCTAGAAATGTCTTAGCGATACCTATGATTATTGGTAAGACACATAAATGTCTTAGCGATACCTATGGTTATTGGTAAGACACATAAATGTCTTTAGCGATACCTATGATTATTGGTAAGACACATAAAATATGTCTTAACGATACCTATGATTATTGGTAAGACACATAAAATATGTCTTAGCGATATCTATGATTATTGGTAAGACACATAAATCTCTCAGCGATAATCCTATACTACAGCTATTTCTCACTACGCCTAGGATATCAAATACATATGGCTTCCTACTGACGCTGTATACCTGGTCGAGTATGAGCTGACAGTCAATGGTGGAACACATTCTACCCGAAGAATTGGCAGGAAAGAGGTAAAATGGGGTTTGGGGTCTCCAATTTTTTTTCACAAATCACATATGAAAACTATGTAAAACGAATGAAATGATATATGAAAACTTGAAATGTTTGATTGTTTTCCTTCACTGCTCTCTGCATGGTCATCAAGTTTTAAAACGCTTGAACCTATCATATATATGGGACATCAATTGAAAACGTTTGGTGGAATATGACTATCTGATATTTTCCTCTAGATAATTCTGAATTCAAAACACATGTCAATACACACAAACACCTAAGTTTCACTACAGACTTGCATAAAGATACACAATGTATGGTCTAATGATCTTAATACACATAGTTTGACCGTTCACTTAACGAAAAAACTTCCCGATATTAGTATTTGAGGAAATATTGGTGACAATATATGACCTTTGACCCCTTCGAACTGTTTTCAATCCTAGCCTGATGACCCTTGACATCGTTAACTGGGTTATGCCTTTTCAAAATAAGAACTTTGGTCGACCACATACGGTCTAATTAGGATCTTGTGTCATTTTCATGGAATTTAATTGATAATTTCTATATTTTCAATAAAAATAAAGGCATACAGTGTTTATATATTGTAACTCTTTTGAAACATCACATGAAGAATAAACGAGTTGTGTCCCCTTTTCCCTGTTTATCATTGAAGAGGTCAAAGGTCAGAGGTGCATAAGAGTCCAATCACAGAAATAAATATCTACAATATTCATGGAACTAATATTCTTTAGAAAATGCCACAATTATACGTTTTTCACCACTGACATAAATAATTCGATGACTTGTCATAAATTAGCTTACATTTGCATAAATATACACGTAAAAATAGTCCGGGTATCTGGTACAATACGTCACACGAGGAATCGTTTCCGGTACCACACTTCCGGCGGGTTACAGTCATTTTTGCTAAACGGAGTTGTTTTGAAGATTGATAATTCACCTATTTTGAATTTCCTCATTCCTGGAGAATTTTGGGTAAGGAGTAAAATTTGGAGCAAAGTGAGGGACAATCACACATGAGCTTCTTATGTGCTTCCTGGGTTGGTAGACGCTGAAAGCTTCTATCTAAATATATAACATCCACTCTGGTAGTTCAGGTTGAAGGAACTAGTACACACGACCATATAAGGCAATCATCGTCAACTGTTTGTATTCCACTGAGATGAAGCCGAATGGTCCTATAGCATCCACACTGATTGGTTAAAATCACTAATTCACACGAGTCGGGATCACCAGCGTCCTTCCCTTACCGATGTTTCTTGTGTGTCTCGAGTCCAGCAGGTTGTACTGAAATACAACAGGCGAGCACAATATTAAAGCAACATCTCTGGTGTCAGTTTGGTCGGAACTGGTCAACAAAGCTCGTCACAACTAGATCGAATGATCGAGAAGTCACTAGTCAACAAATCGAAACTCTTTAACCAGAATACCACGACGCACAGGGTTCACTAGACAACACAGGGTTCACTAGACAACACAGGGTTCACTAGAAACACATGGTTCACTAGAAACACATGGTTCACTAGACAACACAGGGTTCACTAGAAACACATGGTTCACTAGAAACACATGGTTCACTAGACAACACAGGGTTCACTAGAAACACATGGTTCACTAGAAACACATGGTTCACTAGACAACACAGGGTTCACTAGAAACACATGGTTCACTAGAAACACATGGTTCACTAGACAACACAGGGTTCACTAGAAACACATGGTTCACTAGAAACACATGGTTCACTAGACAACACAGGGTTCACTAGACAACACATGGTTCACTAGACAACACATGGTTCACTAGACAACACAGGGTTCACTAGACAACACATGGTTAACTAGACAACACATGGCTCACTAGACAACACATGGTTTACTAGACAACATAGGGTTCACTAGACAACACAGGGTTCACTAGACAACACAGGGTTCATTAGACAACACAGGGTTCATTAGATAACACAGGGTTCATTAGACAACACATGGTTCACTAGACAACACATGGTCCACTAGACAACACATGGTTCACTAGACAACACATGGTCAACTAGACAACACATGGTTCACTAGAGAACACAGGGTTTACTAGACAACACATAAATGGCTAGACAACACATAGTTGGCTAGACAACATATGTTCGAGTAAATAACACATTGTCACCTAGACAACACATGATCGACCAAATGATTTTTTTTTTTAATTTGCGTCGTATTATTTGCTGAATTCTGAATTTGATAACTTTTACAAAAAAAGAATGAGGAAATTTGCCAATACCAGAACCTCTTTTTTCCGAACATTTTCATTTCAAAGGAAGTTCAGGGTTAAAGATATATCCAATACTTTTTAGACAATGTTTGCAACTCGTTTACAAATCCGTTCACAAGACAAAGGCTTCTAATAAGGCATGGCTTCCACATTATTCTAGAGCTATTATAACATTTATCCGGATCCCCTCACTGGTAAACACGAAACAGAGCTATTATAACATTTATCCGGACCGCCTCACTGGTAAACACGAAACAGAGCTATTATAAAATTTATCCGGATCCCCTCACTGATAAACACGAAACAGAGCTATTATAACATTTATCCGGACCGCCTCACTGGTAAACACGAAACAGAGTTATTATAACATTTATCCGGACCACCTCACTGGTAAACACGAAACAGAGCTATTATAACATTTATCCAGATCCCCTCACTGGTAAACACGAAACAGAATTATTATAACATTTATCCGGATCCCCTCACTGGTAAACACGAAACAGAGCTATTATAAAATTTATCCGGATCCCCTCACTGATAAACACGAAACAGAGCTATTATAACATTTATCCGGACCCCCTCACTGGTAAACACGAAACAGAGTTATTATAACATATATCCGGACCCCCTCACTGGTAAACACGAAACAGAGCTATTATAACATTTATCCGGATCCCCTCACTGGTAAACACGAAACAGAGCTATTATAAAATTTATCCGGATCCCCTCACTGATAAACACGAAACAGAGCTATTATAACATTTATCCGGACCCCCTCACTGGTAAACACGAAACACTACCGGACCCCCTCACTGGTAAACACGAAACACTATCAGGATATCATGTGATATTTTGATAGTCCCTAGGAGCTATTTATTCAGCAGTTATTTTTTTCGCAAATGACGAAAAACTCAAGCATAGGCTACAAAGGAAGATAACTGCCTTAGCTACAAAGGGAAATAATTCCCTGAACGCAACAAATGGCTAGCCAGCTATTCATGCATATATATAAATACAGTAACGAAGATGTGTTATCTTATGCAAAATTAACAGGTACATACGTCAAACTAAGCTACAATAGTCAGTAATATCTGCACGTGTTAGAAATACCCATATACGGTCCATGACTTGGTCCTTAGTTTCCCAGACATGAAACTATTATCTACTTCCATTGGTTAAAAACCACGTTACCAACACCAAGTTTAACCGACATAAAAAAGTACCGGCGAAATAAAAGACAAGTTATGACGGCAACTTATTCAATAAAAAGCAAAAATACCTAATTACGGAAATAATTAGGATGTGCGTCTAGCCAGGGTACCAGATACAGTGAGTGAGTTAGCCAGCTATACACTGCTAAAGATTATTGCTAGTTAGCCAGTTACAGAATGTATTCGTAAGTATACAATGCTAGGAGATATTATCATGTTTTGGGGACATAAACACTGCTAGGAGATACTGTTGTAAGAAGACTTCTGTTTTCATATTAGAGCTTCTTGCTTTGATCTATTTAGATTGCTTGCCATGTCGCGCATGCTTTTTCGGATTGAAAATTACTGCGCAATAGTATTAGGCGATAGAGAGTGGTCGTGGACTACTTTACCGAAATGGCTGCCTTCTTCACTGGACCTCACAACTTGTCCTTGTCTGAAATATCACCAAGGAAACGAGTGAGGCAAAAATAGACGATGAATAATGTCAGCCTCGTGCTATTAGTGATATGGAAACGTCATCACACAGGGCGGCTAGAGCCATAGCAGGTGAGAGAGTGTCAAAGACGATGCCGTCACACGTGGTAAGGCAACAGATTTGGCGTGATACTAGCTATAGATGAAGGTGATGTGGCAGGGTGATTTTTCAGAAAGCGCGCGCAGGTGAAAGTTTAGGTCGTTCTTTAAAGGAACATCACGTCACATGACAGAAAGGGGCTTCGGGTACGATAGCACATGGTAGGGACGGACAGTTTGATTTCTGGTGGTTGACCTACAACAGGAAGTGATTGCCCGAAATCACGCAACAGGAAGTGGATTGCCCGAAATCACGCAACCGGAAGTGGATTGTCCGATATCAGGCAACAGGAGGTGGATTGTCTTATGTTATTGCACTATGAAAGGAAGTAAATTGTCCGATATCTTGTGGAAAGAAGTGGTTGTCTTAGATCACATAAAAAAAGAGTGGATGGTTGGATAAGATTGGGACAGAGTGCTTAAATGATTTGCAGTTGAAATATCAATGTATATGGAGTGCAATTAAGTAAAGGATTTAATTATTCTTTTTAACATACAAAAAATGAGGTAGGTAGTGGACTTTTTATATGACAGGAAATGCACTATCTGTTTTATTGTCAACGGTGTTAACAGTGAACAGAATCGCGATGTGAGGGCAAGACTTCTGGTTGGCTATAACGACACCTATCGTTTTGATCAAACAGCAATAAAATGCAGCAGTACGTCCGTCATTTCAGCATGACGTCGCTTCACTCCTGTAATACAGCGCGTGCACGATGTCAAGGCCAGACAAAATGTTCTAATCTGTGGAAAGGGTTGACGGTTCGATAGGCGATGGCTCACCCCGTATTCGAGGTTAGAAGGTTTAATCAGACGTGTTTTACGGCCGTATATCACATGAAGTAATCAGAGGAAGGTACCATCATATAAGAATGGAGGTGTAGGTGTCGCTTGTTGGTGTGGAGGACATTTTTGTCGGAAAAGCTCACGTGGGTTTGGGATGGAATTTCATTATTTTTTTCTAGGATCGTTCCCTCGTGTAACTCTATGAATTGTTGATAAAACAGCAAAAATCATTCATAAGCTGGGTAAAAAAAACAGGTGTTCAAACGAAAATTTGTTAAGAGAGTAGCGACACCTGGTGAGTTTTTTTAGTACGTTGAGTGTAAAGATGGAGGGTATCATGGTCAGTTTATCGAATGATCACAGTTAGAATGACGTGAAGGGAGCATGTTGAGCATTAGTGTTATTTCAAGTTGTAAAAACTTCAATGATTATTACTGAAAATCAAAGATGACTTCACTCAGTTAAAGTGAAGCACAATTATCCGATAATAATTATTTTATATTTTGTGCAAAAACATTTCTGTATGATTTAAAGTCTCAAAAACACGTATCTGAAATAAATTAGTTGGCTTTTTTGTATAATTGACATTTCATTGTAGATATTTCACGTCATTAAAGATCGTACTCATTCTTGTTTTACCAATACCAAGAGATGACCTCAGATTAACCTGTAATGGAAAGTCAAACCTGCACAGTTTTACGAACAAACGTGATATAATAAGTACAAACGTACAGTAAAGTGTGAGTACACAGCAAGGCATCGCATATAAACTTCGGAACACCTCAGTTTTCATCGGAACAAACAGTTTTGGGGGAATTCAAGATTTGTTTCATTTTATTTCGATATTATTGTTTTCTAAAAATCTTGTTATAAAAATTTGTATGTATATAGGAGATTTTGATTCTCCGTATATTAAAATTTACAACTTTTTGAGACCCATATCCATATTGTTCATCCACATTTATTTGATGTTTTTTTCATTCTTTAAAACATTCCAAAAAAACATTTAAAGATACTATTTTCTCGCGAACTGCCAAGACAACACGATTAGTAATCCCGCCACATTGTAGGGTCATTTACACGTGCGTTGGTTTTATCTTCAATAGATGTGACTGGGAGAACTTGAAATATGCTGTAATTATGATGTATATTTGATCAAACCTGATCAACAGAATATATAATTATATTTATGTGTCTTTATTTGATCAACTTGAGTTTTTGAACATTTATATATCTTTGATCCAATTTGATCAACATAATATGAGTTTTATTTTGACATATCTTTGAACCAATCTGATCAACATAATATGAAACTTTGGTTTTGATGCATACTTGATCAATCTTCATCAGCAGCCTATGAAACTTGTTTTCATTTCGGTGAAAAATTTGGATAGAACTTAATCCGGAGAATTGAAATGTTTGAATGTTAATTGATAATTGACGAAACTC